CTTAACTTCTTGCAAGGAGACATTCACCAAACTCTCTTCTTTTTATTTTTGTTTTACGCCGAGAAAGGAGACTCTGACCAAACATTAGAAAGAACTTCCTGATGATCAGAGCTGTTTGACTAGAGAACGAACGGCCTCAGAAGGTGGTAAGATTCTCCCCTTCCTTGAGGTTTTTTTTTCCTGAACAGACATTCAATAAGCATCTGCCAGAGATGCTTCAGGGGTGAGCTTCTGCATGGGCATTGGGGGTGGGTCCGATGAGTCTCTGGGCCCCTTTCCAACTCCATGAGTTAACATCTTCCACAGCCCTCGACCTCAGTACAACATAGGCAGCATTTTTGCAGGAAGTATAACAGCATCTCCGAGCTATCTCACAGCCCAGAAACAGGGAAAGCAAAACGGACCTTGGAGGTCTCCTCTGCCAGGAGGCCGGGACACAGGATGGTGCCCATGGACAGGTGACAGTAACAGCCGTCACCCTCCAGTTTTACCAAAAGCAAAAGACAACTTGGAAATCCTTCGGACTACCACGCCCAGAATCCTCCTCTGTAGTGTAACAGGGGGTTGGGGGAAGCAACCGCTCCAAATTTTGTTTCAGTAGACCATGGTCTAGAGGGGCGGGGTAAAAATCAAATAAATAAATAAATAAATAAATAAATAAAATACAAGATCTGAGTCCAGATCTCTCCTGGAAGAGAATGAAGCTGGAGGAGCAACCAGACCTCTGCTTCAAATTCTAACACACACAGACACAGACACAGACACAGACACACACACCCGCCCAGAGTGGTAGAATATACCAGATGGGCGGGATATAAATTGAACAAATAAATAAATAAAATAAAATGTTATTGCCGCTGCTGCCATCATCTGGAAATCTATCATAAATGCCACCACAACCTCTTTCTGCTTAGTAATAGTGGAGGGGGAAGGAGAGACAGAGAAGAAGTGAACAAACAGGTTATTCTTCCTCCCCTTTTCTCTCAGTGGTTGGATAGCTCAGTGGTTTAGGCATCCAGCTGTGGAGACAGAGGATAGGGTTTCGATTCCCTACTGGGCTTCTTATGAAGTAAAGCCAACCTGTGTGGCCTTGGGCCAGCTGCAGAGTCCCAGGGCACCCCAGGAGAAGGCAACAGCCCACCACTTTTGAATTCTATCTAGAAAACCCTGAAAGAGTCCCTATAAGTTAGGAATAGATTTGACAGCACATTACTGTTGTTGCTGTTATTCACATTATTGCTGCTATTATTTCTCTCAAAATTTCTGAGCACTCCTCAGTAGTGGTGCATCGCATAGCGACGTTAATCCGTGCAGCAAAAATTGCTACTAAGCGATTTCGTCACTATGCGATTTTAAAAAGCCCATAGAAACGCATTAAAACCTGTTTAATGTGTTCCTATGGGCTTAAAACTCACCTTAAAGCAAAGATCCTCCATACGGCAGCCATTTTCGCTGCCTCTTAAGTGAGGAATCCGTCCTTAAACACAGCGAGTGGCCATTTTTTTTACCCGGCGGCTATTTTGGGACCGCCAATCAGCTGTTAAAGATTCATCGCTTTGAGATGATCGTTAAGCGAAACAGGGAACCGATCATCACAAAGCGAAAAAACCCCATTTAAAACATCGCAATGCGATCGCTTTTGTGATTGCAAAATCTTCGTCGCTATGCGGTTTTGTCGCTAAACAGAGTGCCTGTTAAGCGAGGCACCACTGTATAGCCCTGGAATGAATTATCATCATCATCATGGTCGTCCTCGTTCCTCAGAAGGCTGACTAGCAGAGGAGGGAATCGGGGAGCTGTGGTCACGAAAAGGAGCTTCTCCAACCTCTACTCCTTCTGGGTTGCAAGCCCCCATCAAAATGCACAAGGAGCCGGAAAATGACTTGGGAGCCCAACGAACGAAGAGCAAACAGACTGAATACCTAGTTTGTTCTGCCCGTGAAGCAACACAACAAGGGCTCCTTTTGATGGCAAGTGTCCTTGTTTCCTCCTTCAAGCCCGCGGAAGTCCATTGCCTTCAGGGCAAACAGATATTTCATTTGCGACGGAACCTTTGTATTTTATGGCAGGAACTGAGTCCGGAACTAGGATGCAGGCTTTCTCATTTTGCCAGGCAGATGCCCCGGGAAATGTCTGGCAACCGATCCAGCGCCAGCCAGCAGCAAGCCTGGCCGTTTGCACAAGACAATGTCCAGGATTACAAGCCGCTCCTCTAGAGAAGCCGGAAGATTTGGGCGCACCAAGTGCACTCAAAAGGGATTTTGGAGGGGGGGTGGCCTTCATTGAGATGCAGCGCACAAATCTAATTACGTTGAAGCTTTTCTAGATTTCAAAAACCGGTGGGGGCAGAGCGGACAGGAAGCCGCTGCGGAACAATAAAATAAAACAACTTGAGACAGTCTTCCAGAGAGCCCCCCTCCCCCTCCGGGCAGACAAATCCAGTTAAATGGTTCTTTGGACCCCGGCCAGCCTCAACCGTTTGAGAGCAGAAAGGAAAAAGCCAAGCGGCTTCTGGCACTTTCATTTTGAACAAATTGTACAACGGACTGGTTTTGTGACATAAGGTGGGGCAGGAAGAGACAAAAACAGGAGTATCAAAGAATGAATGGCGGGGAGAGAAGTCCATTTCATTCCTTTCTCTGCCATTCAGAAATCATATTGATTCAGGGCAGAAAAAGGCACTCCTTCACACACACACACACACACACACACAATATGTGTTTCATAGATGGAGTTTGCTACCAAAAGCGGTAGGGAGAGCCAGCTTCAATAAGCTTAAGGAGGGGCTTAGATAAATTCGAGCCAGGCAGGCTTCTAGGCAGCTATTCACATACAGCTATTATTTGTCTGCTTATTAACCAACACAGCGAGGCTGATATTTTGCAATCAGTACCCAAGGTGGCTGACGAGAACGTTAACACTGCAACAAAGACCAGATTGCTGCCTAAACAAATATAGTAGGCGGGGAAAAACAGCAGCCTCCTCGTCCACCGGCAGCGACTTGAGCTAAATGATGTGATTCATAGCCATAAGATCCAGATGTTTTGGAGGACCTTAGAAGGGAATTCAGTATATTTGTGGAGGTTAGGGCCATCCCTGGCTATGGCAGGGAATGGCATGTGCGTCCCTCCGTGACTAGAAGCCGTGGGCTGTCGAATGTGAGAGGAAAGATGTAGTGGGACTCCTGTCCTGCCACTGGGCTTCCCAAAGACAAGGGGCTGGCTCCTGCGTGGAAGTAATGTTTGATTCTGCTCTGATTCAGCATGGATATTTCTGTATTCTTACCAGGAAAAAAGGTGGCAGTGGAAAGACAGCAGGCACCTAAACAAAAAACCACAACAGATAGATAGAAGGGGGAGAGGGAGGAGAGGAAGGAAGGAAGGAAGGAAGGAAGGAAGGAAGGAGAGGGGAGAGGAGAGGACAGGAGAAGAGAAGAGAAGAGAAGAGAAGAGAAGAGAAGAGAAGAGAAGAGAAGAGAAGAGAAGAGAAGAGAAGAGAAGAGAAGAGAAGAGAAGAGAAGAGAAGAGAAGAGAAGAGAAGAGAAGAGAAGAGAAGAGAAGAGAAGAGAAGAGAAGAGAAGAGAAGAGAAGAGAAGAGAAGAGAAGAGAAGAGAAGAGAAGAGAAGAGAAGAGAAGAGAAGAGAAGAGAAGAGAAGAGAAGAGAAGAGAAGAGAAGAGAAGAGAAGAGAAGAGAAGAGAAGAGAAGAGAAGAGAAGAGAAGAGAAGAGAAGAGAAGAGAAGAGAAGAGAAGAGAAGAGAAGAGAAGAGAAGAGAAGAGAAGAGAAGAGAAGAGAAGAGAAGAGAAGAGAAGAGAAGAGAAGAGAAGAGAAGAGAAGAGAAGAGAAGAGAAGAGAAGAGAAGAGAAGAGAAGAGAAGAGAAGAGAAGAGAAGAGAAGAGAAGAGAAGAGAAGAGAAGAGAAGAGAAGAGAAGAGAAGAGAAGAGAAGAGAAGAGAAGAGAAGAGAAGAGAAGAGAAGAGAAGAGAAGAGAAGAGAAGAGAAGAGAAGAGAAGAGAAGAGAAGAGAAGAGAAGAGAAGAGAAGAGAAGAGAAGAGAAGAGAAGAGAAGAGAAGAGAAGAGAAGAGAAGAGAAGAGAAGAGAAGAGAAGAGAAGAGAAGAGAAGAGAAGAGAAGAGAAGAGAAGAGAAGAGAAGAGAAGAGAAGAGAAGAGAAGAGAAGAGAAGAGAAGAGAAGAGAAGAGAAGAGAAGAGAAGAGAAGAGAAGAGAAGAGAAGAGAAGAGAAGAGAAGAGAAGAGAAGAGAAGAGAAGAGAAGAGAAGAGAAGAGAAGAGAAGAGAAGAGAAGAGAGGAGAGGAAAAACAGCAACCACTGAAATTAAAAGCACTAACCAACAAAATGAAAAAAGACAACCAAATAGGCTAAAATGTCTCTCTTGCTGCAAGAAGATTCTGATCTGCACCAGGAGGAGACTGGACTTCCCACTTCAGAAAAAGTGTCTAGAGTATGGATAGGACCACTGAGAAAAATCCGTCTTAAGTTCCTAAGCCAGAGGAGAGCTTTGTGGATACCCTGGAGTGCTAGAAAGACAAACAAGTCAGTCCTAGATCAAACCAAGCCTGAACTATCTATCTCTGAAGGCAAAAACGACAAAAAACACTGTCCTATTCTGGGCATATTAGAGAACTATCTATCTCTGAAGGCAAAAACGACGAAACGCTGTCCTATTCTGGGCACATCAGAAGAAGGCAGGATTTTCTGGAAAAGACAATAATTCAGGAAAGGAGGAAGAACAATACAAGATGGACTAACCCTCTAAAGGAAACCACAGGCTTGAATTTGCAAGAGCCGAGCAAGGTAGCTGAGAACAGGATCTTCTGGAAAAGATGGCTCATTTACAGGATCGCCATCCGTTCTAGATGACTGGATGGCACATAACAACCTGTTTTCGTCAACCCACTTCTGACTGCGCAGAATGCACCGAAGCGCAGGGTAACTCCACAGAATCTCTGGCTTGAGAAGTGATGTACAATAATATAGCACTTACCTCTACTTCGAAGACCTCCCCAGCACCTTCACAGTCGTTCGAGGTGATTATGGGTGTGTGGATGTGCGCATATCCGTTATCCTACAGGACAAGAAAAAGTGACATGTCACAAATGGATGACTGAGGTTGCACAACAAGGAAAGAAGCCCACAGTGGCTAACACACAGCCTCGGTCTCCCGATAGCCATGAGTCAGCCATTTTAACATTTAAAACTCCCAGAAGCCTTCACCATGACCTCTGCTGGCCAGGATTTCTGGGAGATGTAGTCCAAGAACATCTGGAGACCCAAGATTGGGACCTTTAAGGTTCTCGGTTCAGCTCCAAAATTCTTTTTATGCGACTAAGATCCAAGTTTGAACACATGGATCTCCTGCAGTTCCACTTTGCATGATGCCAATAGGCACCTTATCGGCAAGCCGTGTGCTATAGTGGGTTGAAGTACCAGAATAATCCTAGAGCGATCCTACTGTAGCTACAAAGCCCACTGGGGAACTCTGACTAGCCTTTCTCCCTCAGTCTAACTGCCTTCTGAGAGTCATTGTTAGAATAACATGAGATACGTCAGAATAACATGGCCTAAAAGGAAGCAACTCACACACTCTCCTGCGGGAGATACAAATGCCATAAAGTAAATGAATAAAAAATGGCTTTTTGACCAAGTTGGGAGTTATAGGCATGCAAATAGCACCACCTAGTGGTCACAGGCTTGTTTCCAAATATATATACAGTGGTGCCCCGCATAGCGACGATAATCTGTTCCGAAAAAATCGTCGCTATACGGATTCGTCGCTATGCGGGGCAAAAAACCCCATAGGAACGCATTAAAACACGTTTAATGCATTCCTATGGGGAAAAACCTCACCTTTAATCGAAAATCCTCCATCCGGCCGCCATTTTCGGTGACACTAAAAAGCGAGGCAACACAGCGGGCGGCCATTTTGGAACCGCCGATCAGCTGTTCGGTGCTCTCTCTCTCTCCACCCCTTGCAGGTCCAGCCTGGGCAGGGAGACTGAGGCCAGGGTCTCCCTGCCCAGGCTGGAGTTGCAAGCGGGGGGAGAGAGAGAGCGCTGAAGTTGGCGGGGGTTTGCGAAGCTGGCTTCCCCGCGATCTTTGCAAACCCCCTGCCCATCAGCTGTGCTTTGGGGCTCTCTTTCAGCGGGGCCTTTGGCGTGATCTCTGCAACCCCCCCGCCCATCAGCTGTGCTTTGGGGCTCTCTTTCGGCGGGGCCTTTGGGATGATCGTGGGGAAGCGCTTCCCCACGATCATCGCAAAGCAATTTTCCCCCATTTAAAACATCGCAATGCAATCGCTTTTGGGATCGCAAATACTCCATCGCTATGCGGATTCATCGTTAAACGGGGAGCTTGTTAAGTGAGGCACCACTGTACTATATTTTTAACAAACTTCCCAGTCTGCGGTAACTGGAAAGCAGCCTTTCCTACACTGGTGCCTTCCAGATGCGTTTAACTTTAGCATCACCATCACCCTCTGGCCATGCTGGCTGATGTGGTATGTAGTTGAACACATGTGGAAGTCAGCCGCTTGAGGGAAGGCTGCTGTCTTTACCAAGACCCACTATAGCAAATGCCACAAACGGGTACATGCCAGCTTCCAGATTTTCCAGAACCAAATTTTCCACAGCAATTCCAGCTATGGCATAACAGTGACAAACGTAGAAGGGAGAAAAGAGGGGAGAAAAAAAATCCTATAAAGTAAACCCATCTTAAGACGAAGGTCAAATAGCTGCGCAGCGTTTGGCCAGCCTGCAGATGTCCCTGTTTAAGGCTAGATTCCAGCTTGATGCCCATCATAACTTTTTATGACAGTGAATTGTCAATAAATGCCAGATTACCCGGAAAAACGAATGGATTGCAGCAGTTGCTTCACTCCGTATCCTCAGCAGGGCACTCAGCGAATTGGTTCTGCATCGGAGGTGAGGAAATTGCCGGAGGTATTCCAGAGACTGGCGTGCGTTGTATATTAAAGGAAAGGCCTGGATAACGGGAGACAGGCAACATTATGAGGTCCATTAGATTAAGGAGACTTGTTGACAGAAAAAAGGGCATAAGATCAGGTCACTATTTAGACTTTATTTAGGATAGATAGATAGATAGATAGATAGATAGATAGATAGATAGATAGATAGATA